CTTGTTACAAAAACTGTGTATGTATTCATGTCAGGATCAATGGTGCTGATGTGGCTGCAAATTCAAGTTGAAATGTATTCCGGGTGCTCCCAGAGAACCTCAACGGTTGAGTGACACGCGGTGGTCATGCAGGTATTTGGCCTGTCGCAATTTAATGGACAGGTTGCCAGCAGTAGTAACGAGTCCTAGAAGAAATAGCTGGGGAACAAACTGGGGGACAGTCAGTAGATGCCCAAGGCCTTCTGTTTACTGCATTTCTAGCAACATTTAAAAAAACGTATTGGAGATGCAAAATTCCTTTTTTTTTCATGCTCCAGTCATGATGTCTTGAATTAGCAAAAGCAGTAGACCTAGTGGAGGCACTCATTTGCACATTTGAAAATTATAGAAATGAGAAGGTATTTGATGATGTCTGGACAACAGTTTTGAGTATTGCTGAGCAGTGTAATATCTGTACAGACACCATTCCCAAAACGAAAGAGGAAGCTAAGCTCTAAGCTAGAAGCAACCTGTGTCATGTCAACAGTAGGAAGTCAAGCAGCTCTGAACAGCAAAGAGTTTTTCAGAGCAGGGATATTTTACCAGGTTTTGGACATGATGCTAAATGAGCTGAGGATTTGATTTTCAGACCAAAATTGTGACATAATAAGGGGTATCCAAGCTCTGAATCCTTCTAGTGAAACATTCTGTGAAAAGGATGTTCTGTTTCCATTTGCTAGGATGTATGGGTCTGATCTTTAAGCATGGTAGACCATCAGCTAGAAGCTGTCAGAATTGTGACACCAGTTTTTTTCTCTGGTTTCTTCAGTCATTGTTGGATTCAGGGAAATCAGTTAATACGATAAAGGTCTATATGGCAGCCATCTCACACTTTCATTCTTTAGTGGATGGTGTAAGTATTGGTAAACACTCTTTGGTGTCTCAATTCCTTTAGGGCGCACACCATTTATGCCCAGGGAGGGTTATGAGCTCACCTGCTTGGGATCTTACTGTTATCTTACGTTCACAAGTCAAAGCACCTTTTGAACGTTTGGATCAAGCCGATCCAAAGTTCCTGACATGGAAGACAGTCTTCCTCCTGGCAATATGTTCAGCTAAGAGGGTTAGTGAATTGGACTCTTTATCAGTCAATGAAGACTGTTTGAGATGTAAGGCGGAAAATCCAGGGGTTTATCTCTGGCCAAATCTGTTATTCCTACCCAAGGTCCTTAGGCCTGGTACAATAAATCAGGTAATTGAGCTTGATGCTTTTTACACAGACCTTCGATTGTCTCACTGGATAGTGGATACAATTTCACAAGCATATTCCAGTCAAAATCTACCTATTCCTGGTGATCTGGTCACCCATTCTACCAGGAGTATGGCCACTTCCTGGGCGGCACTTAAGGGGGTAGCATTCTCAGACATGTGTGGCAGCCTCTTGGAGCACTCCATGCACGTTCACAAGATTTTGATTGATGTGACAAATCCAAATTCTTTGGGGTCTGCTGTTTTATCTGCTGTTAAGTTACCAGGGAAAGGGAATGATACTAGTCCCTCGTGACTCTGTTGGCATTAGTCATCCAGGATAAGACCGTGGTGACAGTCTGAGTGAGGTCGAAATAGATCGTAAGTTATGTCCATAACTATGGATCTATGAGACGAATGATGACCGTCACCATCCCTTGTCACTCGGGAGGAGCTGAGGTATTCTAGGCAGGAGGAAGTGGTTGGTCCCTCCGGATGTTATATAACCGCCAACCCCTAAGGTCAGTCACCTGACATTTTTATTATTAGGTTTAGAGCAGGGGTGGGCAAACTTGGCCTTTCCAGGTCACTTCCTTCAGAGTTTAGCTCCAACTCTAATCAAACACACCTGAACCAGCTAATCATTGTCTTCAAGACTATTAGAAAGCTACAGGCAGGTGAGTTTTATCAGGGTTGGACCACATCTCTGCAGGAAAGTGGCCTGGAAGGGCCAAGTTTGCCCATCACTGGTTTAGAGGATAGGCGGAAGAATGGCACCATTCAGGATAAGACTAGGGCTCGGCAAAAAAAAAGATTTTTCGATTAATCGGTTTTTTAAATGACATCGATTCGATATCGATTCTCAAAAACCGCGAATCGATCTTTTCCGGGATTTATTTCAGCACATTTAAAACAAGATCTGATTAACCTGAATCTTATCATTAGTCTTCTCTACTAGATGTCACCCTTATTTACCTTGCGCGATGTTACAACAGAAAGCCTGTCATTCATTCAGCGCTTATCATGGCCATACGCATGATTCGCAATGCTCAGGTGAAATGCTATAGTAATACTATAAATCTGCGGAAGCATTTGATATCACGCATA